AGAGGCGCAAATACATCTATACAGTATTTGGGGAGGGGGGGGCTAAATTGTAACTGTTTTAAAGAAGGTTATAGTTTATTATGTTCTGGGTCCATGCCTACTCCACTGATCCAAACCAATTTTATTATCCCAGTAGTGTTAAAAACAAATTAGTTTTCAGACAAACGTAAAATTTTCAGAAATTGAAGAAAGCATGATATTTGAAACAGAACAATGCAACGTTCTTTTCTATTTATTCTTCTATCTAGAATGTAAATGTTGACGAATATGGACACCGAAATCGGCGGATATTACCATGAAAGTTATCTTCGAAAGTTTGTGCATTACAGTTTATCAAATAATGTTCACTAATGTAATCTGTGAATTATATCTGTAGTAACTCACGGAACAGGCAGTTTCCTAAAAATGACCTCACTTACAGCAACGACTATCTGTTAGCACATCAACAACAGTCCCTCAAGTTCAAGGGCACCAACATTATCCTTTGTGGGGTATGAACACACAGCCTTCAGTTGACCAGCTCAGGTCTTTAATTAGCCTGCACATCCTCATGTGACCATTTATCGCTGCATTTAATTTAGGCAAATTCACAGTAACAACACGCGTTTTATAAAAAAAAGAAAATCACCTGTAAGTCCCGGGTGGTTGAATGGAGCTTGTGACCCGTTCATCTTTCCAGCGCTTTTCCGTGCAGACTGAAGTTTATTCTCCAGAAAATGACATTTCTTTTTCAGAGATTCATTTTCGTTTGTACAGCGTGAAATCTCTAATCGCAGCAACAAAGAATTCTCCTCGAAAAGTTTGCTTATTTCCACAACAGCGGTTCTCGCCATAATTTCCATTATGGATGTTAGCTGCGTCTGAAAATCAGCAGTATTCATGATGTCCGTCGCTTACGGGAAGCTTTACAATGTCTGGAGAAAATGTTGGCTCCACTGTACTCTTAATATAGCTGTTTTTTTTTTTTTGCCAGTCACTGTCCCTATATTCAGTGCAATCTTTCTGTTGAAACCATAAATAACGTTTGGCTGAAAGGAATCATGGGATGAATTACCGTAAAACACTGTATAGAAAATACGCTAAAAAAATGCAACTATTCAGAATAACAATAGGGAAATTAAATTAAAATTAAAGTGTGACAAACATGCAAAAAAATAAGAAATCAGGACAACACTTTTTCACACCACTGTATATTTTTTTAGATTTCTACAAGCACGAAAAGAACAAGAGCATATTTTATTAATATTATCAAATTTGCCTTTTGGAATCATGGAAGAATATCAAAGGTTTTTTTCCCCAATAAAAAAATAAATATTTAAACGCATGAAAATATTCTTAATGTGTTTAATGCAATAAATTAATAAATTTAACAGAAGAAGTTTAACTGTTTTCAGACTTGATTTTAATGCTGATCTGATGCCACATGAATCAAAGTGTTTATCAAACTGTACATTGATCTCCGTGATCATAAGAGTGCAAATCAATGCAGTTTGAAACTAATATCAGCACATTTACTCAAGCTTATTGTCATTAACTAATGTTGTTGCAAGTCTGACACGACAAGTGTTTGTTAAGATTAAATTTGGTCATGAACCCTTTCCCACATTTTGTACAAGTGTAGGGTTTTTCTCCAGTGTGACTTCGCAGATGCTTGTCTAGAGTGCATTTCTGAATAAAGCCTTTTCCACAGAGCGAACATTGATATGGCTTCTCTCCGGTATGGGTGCGCTGATGGGTGTACAGGTGTCCTTTCTGAAAGTACCTCTTTCCACAGAGCGTGCACCTGTATGGCTTCTCACCTGTGTGACTCCGCTGATGTATCGTAAGTTGACTAAAGCACCTGAACCTCTTCGAACAATAGGAGCAAACAAAACGCTTGTCTCCTGAAATAGTGTTGGCACTGGATGTTCTTGTGGAGTTTGATGCACTCAAACTCTGTGCGTGACTGAAAGACATGTTTGGTTCACCATTTGGCACAGTCTGGTTCACTGTGATTGTTCCGGGTGAGGAGTTTCTGTTCACTTCTGGTCTTTCTGCTTTAGATGGGACCCTTGCGGCTGTGTTTTCTCTACTTCCTCTGCCAACACAAGGAACAGTTTTGAGAACATCCTTGATGGGTGACAGGCTCTCAGCTTCACCACACTGGGTTCCTGTGGTTAAGTGTGAGTAATGTAAGTGGAAGTTATAAATTACTTAGAAACACTGGCAATTAAAATTATCCACCATTATTCAACAGTTACTTACCTGCTTCACTGTTGTCTTGACCAATCCAAACATCTACTTCCTGTTGCTCCTGCTTCACCCTACTAATTGGCTGGTTTACCTCACACTTCTGCTGTGGACTGTCCTTTGACATTGTGACATCACATTATATCTTATATTTGTATGAAATAGAAACATTACGTTTTCTACAGCTCTCATTCATTCATTCAATATGGATATTTACATAAAGAGGAGAACTTACTTGGTCTTGCTGAATTACTGTTGGGACGTCTTTTCTTGGGCCTCTACACCTGTTCAAATGACAGTGCATCTCTTCTTGGCCACATTCACTAATAAAATAAAAATAAAAGGGTTATGCACTAGTGGTCAAAAGTTTGGAATAATTAATATGTCTTAACATCTTTAAGTCTCTTATGCTCAAGGCTGCATTTATTTGAGCAAAAAAAAAAAAACTGTAACATTGTGAAAAATTCTTAAAATTTTAAGTAAGTGTTTTCTATTTGAATATATTTTAAAATGTAATTTATTCCTGTGATGCAAAGCTGAATTTTCAGCATCATTACTCCAGTCTTCAGTGTCACATGACACTTCAGAAATCATTCTGATATGCTGATTCGATGCTCAAGAAACATTTCTTATTATTAAAGTTCAAAAGAACAGCATTTATTTATTCTTTTTACACCATAAATATCTTCTCTATCACTTTTGAACAATTTAATGCATCCTTACTGAATTAAAGTATACATTTCTTTAAAAAAAAAAAAAAAAACTTTCTTAAATCAAACCTTTGAATGGAAATGTATCGCAGTTTCCACAAAAATATGAAGCAGCACAACAGTTTTCAACATTGCTAATAATAATACATGTTTCTTGAACATCAAATCAGAATATTAGAATGATTTCTGAAGGATCGTGTGACACTGAAGACTGGAGTAATGATGCTGAAAATTCAGCTTTGCATCACAGGAATAAATTACACTTGATAATATATTCAAACAGAAAACAGTCATTCTAAATTGTAGCTAAGATTTCACAATTTTTTACTGCTTTTACTGTATTTTTGATTATATATATTACATTACGTTAAATAACCATTTGGTAGCATATATTTGTCTAATAAAGTATATGCAATTATATGCTAAATAAATACCCAAAAGTGGAACTACCTCTTGGCACATGTGAAAGTCTCTGTCGGTGTTTGTCGAGTGTTTGTCCACGGCTGGACCTCCATCAGCCCCAGTCTCTTCCTCAGAGCGCTGATTTCACTGCGGCTGCGGCTGACCTCCGACAACAGCACTTCACACTCCACATCCACGAGCTTGCTTATCTCTAACACAGCTGTCTGCACAAGTGTTTCCATGATGCACGCTAACTGAGTCTGAAAGGAGGAGAGAGTGGACAGCATCTCCCAATATTTCCACAAACTATCGAAAGGAAGTCACAAACTTTATTTAACAGATATATACAGATTCGACTGCTATTCATATACTTCAGCTAGTCGTATGTTTTAACGTGATAATGCCACGATCGTGTGACACTGAAGACTGGAGTAATGATGCTGAAAATTCAGCTTTGCATCACAGGAATAAATTACACTTGATAATATATTCAAACAGAAAACAGTCATTCTAAATTGTAGCTAAGATTTCACAATTTTTTACTGCTTTTACTGTATTTTTGATTAAATAAATGCAGCCTTGGTGAGCATAAGATCATTTTTAAAAAAACATTAAACAATCTTAACTATTCCAAACGTTAGAGAATAAATTAAATAAGTATGGTTCATGGCATTGACTGTGGACTTTATTCAGCATGGTTGCATATTATATATGTTATATGACTGCAGAGGCTGCATATATATATATATATATATATTAGACAAATATATGCTACCAAATGGTTACTTAACGTAATGTAATATATATATATATATTAGTGCTGTCAAACCACATCCACGAGCTTGCTTATCTCTAACACAGCTGTCTGCACAAGTGTTTCCATGATGCACGCTAACTGAGTCTGAAAGGAGGAGAGAGTGGACAGCATCTCCCAATATTTCCACAAACTATCGAAAGGAAGTCACAAACTTTATTTAACAGATATATACAGATTCGACTGCTATTCATATACTTCAGCTAGTCGTATGTTTTAACGTGATAATGCCACATAAACTGTTTCCACAGTTTTCATCTTACACACCAAAGGTTCCCTCTCCTACGTTTAGCTCAACGTAAATGATTTTTCTTCTTCTTCTTCTTCTAATAACGTTTTATGGCGGATGGCAAACCAACTTCTGGTGCAAAATGATTTATCTAAATATGGCGCACTAGCGCCATCTATTGAAATGGAGCCGTTTGAGTGCCAGCCAGAGGGAAAATCAAATGTTGTAAATATAATTTTCGATTATTTACTGCTGATATGTCTTTTTGCATCCATAGAGACATTTTTAGGCTCTTAAATTAGTCTTAAATTGTCACAGATAAATTGCAATTTATCTGTTCCTTACATATTGTGATAATGCTAATAAATATGGTCAAATATGGTTATAAATATGGTAAAAAAATTATATTATATTATATTATATTATATTATATTATATTATATTATATTATATTATATTATATTATATTATATTATATTATATTATATTATATTATATTATATTATATTATATTATATTATATTATATTATATTATATTATGATGGGATTTGAGACTCCAAGGCCGTGAAATCAACTGAATATTTAGAAACGGAGCTTGACTCGTCAGCACTACATTACCCAGAATGCAACAGTAGGCAACGTTCGCTGCGATTGGATGTTGGTCAGATCGCGTGAGAGGCACGTAAAGGAAATCTCACTATTAAGAAAACATTCCTTGGTGAGTGAAATGTAATTTATTCGTTTTTACAGCTTCCATAAGCCAGCATGGAAGTATAAAAGCACGATAAAATCATAATTTTGACGTGTTATTATTATCCGAGTTTGTCGGTAGGCTCTTAGTGCACTTATTCTACTGCTCTCACATTTCGGTGCAATAACTTACTTCCTTCATTCATTCGACTTTATCAAACCTGCACTGCCCAATCAAATTAAACAGTACACGTTGTTCACAACACCTGAATTGCAGACGGCAGTTAACTAATTGTTTCTTTTTTCTGGTCATGCTAAGTTGGACGCATGAGTTGTGCAGAGTCAGTTGACTTATGCATTGCTTCATATCTGACCTGACTGGCATAATCATTGCCTCTCTTTATTTCAGAGAATTATGTCTGGACGAAGAGTGGTGGTTTTCCCCTCAGTGGCCGAGCTTGGATCCACTCTGGCCCAGCTGGTGTCCTCTCGAGCAGAGAAAGCTCTCAGCACAGGTGCAAGCTTCTCTCTGGGCCTTTCAGGAGGGAGTTTGGTGTCCATCCTGAGTAAGGAGCTGCCAGCTGTCCCAAACCTGGACTGCAGCAGATGGCTCATTGGGTTCTGTGATGAGAGACTCGTTCCATTCACTGATCCTGAGAGCACTTATGGCTTATATAAGGTAACTCGGTACATATTAGAAGGAGTGGCAGTCTTTTACTTATACTACAAAACCTGTAGAGTGAATCAAGTCAATCATAGTTTTCAGTCACATGACACAGAGACCAAGAGGTAAAACATCTGTAGAACTGCAGCACAGGCCTGTCAAATATTTAGATCACCCCTCAAAAGAATGGAATCAAAGATATGGGAACAAACTGCAAGTTTTGGGCACTTGCAATCCATAACCAAACAAATAGTTTACCCAAAAATGAAACTTTACTCACACTCAGACCATCCAAGATGTGAGTAAGTTTGTTTCTTCGTGGTAACAGATTTGGAGAAATTTAGCATTACATCACTTGCTCATCAACAATGGATCCTCTGCAGTGAATGGGTGCCGTCAGAATGAGAGTCCAAACAGCTGATAAAAACATCACAATAATCTGGGCTGATCATGTCATGTGAAAACTATGATTACTGATTGATTTTTATATCCAGAATCAGTTGTTTGGGAAAATCATCATTCCAGAAGAAAGGATTTTGGCTATAGATCCTTCTTTACCTGTGCAAGAATGTGCTGATGACTATGCTGGTAAACTGAGCAAGGTGCGATTTCGTTTTTCTAGACAGATTACATTAAACTCATTCGTTTTTGGGGTTTTTTCAAATTCATATTTGTCATTGTAGGCTTTTAACACGGAGCAAATACCGGTTTTTGACATGCTGTTGCTGGGAATAGGACCAGATGGACATACCTGCTCTCTCTTTCCAGATCATCCTTTATTACAGGTTTCAGATAAATTCTTGATAAAGCCGCAATATAACATCTACTTTTAGTGTAGCATGTATCCCACTTATTACAGAATCCTGTTGATTCTCCCATTGACCCTTTATCTGTTTTGAAATGGAATTCTGTGTAAATATTTTATTGGCTTGCTTTTTTTAAGTATCTCTGTGTTATGGGAAATGTGATTTTTGTAGGAAAGCCAGAGGACAGTGGCGCCCATCTCTGATTCCCCCAAACCACCGCCTCAGCGTGTCACTATGACATTACCCACCGTTAACGCTGCTCGATGTGTAGTGTTTGTGTCAACTGGGGGCAGCAAAGCTCCTGTACTTAAGGTAAGTACTTTCTATTGTGTTTCAGACCAGACTTTTGGACCCTATTGTATATCTGTAATTGTAAATGTTACATTTTTCTTTATTATTCTTCATCTTACTGCTTCGGTTTTGATTCTGTATTTTCTGTACTTTTGTAGCAAGTATTGGAGGGTGGAGAAGGCCCTGCACTTCCAGCAGCTCTGGTCGCACCTAGACAGGGAGAGCTCTTCTGGCTAGTGGATGAGCCAGCAGCTGCCTCCCTCACATCTCAGGTGGAGAGGCCAGGTCCCGGAGCAAAGCTCTGAATTTAGGAGACAGAACTTGTAAAAACACTGTCTAGTATTCTTATGAAGTCCTTAAAAAGCACTATGTTTGCAAAGATTTTTTTAAATTATCATTATATTATAATTACTGCAATTATCATTACTACTGTAAAACTATTATGGGATCTATGAAGCTTTCAGAATCCAACTTTATATATATATATATATATATATTTATATATATATATATATATATATATATATAAAACAATAAAGTAGTAGAACAAACGCACACCTTTTTACTAATACTACGTTACCATGGCTTTATTATAATAACAATGACTGTGGAAACTATTTTCCGACGTTTTTTCTCAGAATTGTGAGATATAAACTCAGAAATTCAGGGGGAAAAGTCGTGGCAGAAACAAATAAAATACAGATTATTGGAGTACATTTTACAAGAACATACTATTCTACTATATATATATATATATATATATATATATACAACATTTTTATTACTTGAAATAAAAAATGCATTATAAAACCTTAAACTTATACTAGAATATACAATGTTTACTAATCTGCTAGAGATATAGATATATATAATTTGTTTTTGTTTTTTATAAAGACAGCTAATGTTTTGAAATATAAATGAATGTAACGCAGGGCTCTTCAACTCGGCTCCTGAGTCCTGGAGGGCCGGTGTCCTGCAGAGTTTAGTTCCAACCCTAATTAAACACACCTGACCAGGCTAATCAAAGTATTCAGGACTATTTAAAAATGATGAACAGGTGTGCTGGATAAGGGTTGGAAGTAAACTAGCAGATCACTGGCCCTCCAGGACCGGAGGTGACTAGCCTTGCTGTAACGTGTTACTATGCTCTTGGTTTGCAGATTACCAGAACGTGTCCCTCCTCTTTAAACGTCAGCGTAACATCCCCTTTAACTCGCTCGTCTCCCAAACTGCAGTGTTGTCAATGCAGGCTGATTTTGGTCGGCGGAATTATTTAAACTATAGGTACCCGTTTTAACTTTCTACCTCTGGGTGTAACAGTGTGGTTAGCTGTAAGAGCTCGTATGCATGTTCGTAAAGAGTGTGTGCAGTACAATGCTCTGGTTCGTGTTGTTCGTGTCGGTGCTGTGGTCCTGTCTGATGAATACTGGACCAGCTCAAGGATACTTCCACGAAGAGCGCTGGAGCCCGGAGTCTCCGATATTAGCTCCCCGAGTAATGATCGCTCTCATCTGCCGTAACGCCCAGCACTCGCTGCCACATTTCCTCGGTACTATCGAGCGCCTCGATTACCCTAAAGACCAGATCGCGCTGTGGTAAGTGTGTGTGTGTGCGCGTTTTTGTGACAAATGAGGACATACATTTGTATAATGACAAGGGTATGACATAGGTATTACAAGGAGAAGGTGACTTTTCAGGACATTACCCCATGTCCCCACTTTTCAAAACGGTTATAAATCACACAGAATGGAGTGTATTGAAAATCTGAAATAGCACAAAGTTTCCAGTAAGGGGTAGGTTTAGGGGTAGGGTTGGTGTAGGGCAATAGAATATACGGTCTGTACAGTATAAAAACCATTACGCCTATGGGATGTCCCCACTTTTCACAAAAACAAAACGTGTGTGTGTGAGACGGCGTGCAGCTGCTCAGAGTCAAGACTCCTGTGTTACTGATGTCATAACGCTAGAATCTCATAACCCGTCATAATGCCTGTAGTATGTGTGCGCGTGGTAATCGTACGAATTCTTCATTAGTTCTAAGTTTTCCAATAGTGACTAACGTTAGTACTTACTTGTCCATGACATACGAAGTGACTACTAGTCAATTTCCCCAACATTTCCTTTATTGTTAATAGTAGCAAACTTAACATCCGAGTAGTGTGTTTTTTTTCCAGTTGTTGCTTTTAACTATTCCAGTTTAACTATTCATTCATATGTACTAGGACTTATTACTATTACTTTAATTTTATTATTACTATGTTACAAGTAACTATCCTCGTATTTAATAGTATCTACTTGAGCTGTACTAGTACTTAATTATTAGATAGGCCTACCCCTGTCTTTTTACCAGACACTAGTATCCCATATGTGACCCTGGACCACAAAACCAGTCATAAGTAGCACGGGTATATTTCTAGCAGTAGCCAACAATACATTGTATGGGTCAGAATTATGTATTTTTCTTTTATGCCAAAAATCATTAGGATATTAAGTAATGATCATGTTCCATGAAGATATTTTATACATTTCCTACTGTAGATATATCGAAACGTAATTTGATTAGTAATATACATTGGTAAGAACTTCATTTGGACAACTTTAAAGGTGATTTTCTCTTATTTGAATTTTTTTTGCACCCTCAGATTCCAGATGTTCAAATAGTTGTATCTCGGCCAAATATTGTCCTATCCTACAAAAAAAAAAAGAAGCTTATTTATTCAGCTTTCAGATGATTTCAAAAAAATTGACCCTTATAACTGGTCTTGTGGTCCAGGGTCACATTTGTTACTTGTGGCACTACTTTCAATTGCTTTCTGGACTAGGTTTTCATTCTTGGTGTCTGTGAAGTGAACATCTGGCTGCCAGCAACTCAATGCTCTGGAGGGTAAATTTAAGAAGAAAAAAAAACTTAGATGGGAGGGGCTTCTCCATACTCGCTGTGTCCTGCTCATCTCTGCCAGCTTTACTTGAAAGTTTCCTTTAAAGTTGTCATTGTCCTAACCAGTGAATGAAGAGCTCTGTTGTAAAGGTGTCATTTACCAAGAACGCTCTGAAGCTTGCCGTAGTCGTGCCCCAGATTGAATTGTCATATAACGACAAGGGAATAGGAGTGAACACGGCAAAACAGAAATGCTGTGAAATGTTATTGATCACTGTATTAAAACATAAATAAATTATTACACGTTTTTCTGGAATACTTGGTTCTGATTGGTTAGACTCCATTTAGACTATTTGTTTAATAGTTAAATGTTTCGGAATAATGACCACTCGCCCAATATTTCTTATCCATGAATGAATTTATCTGGAGAGTATTTCGCTATAATAATGTACAGGCAGATGGACAATGATTAGCTGATTGTACATTATCATTTACTTGTACAGATTTATTTGTTTTCTGTATGTGTAAATGTGTATTTTTATGTGGTAGCATATGGGTCTCACAGACAACATGCGGCTTAAGCTTTTTTGTTACTAAAAAGCTGTCAGGTGATGGAGCTGTGGTCTAGAGGTTAGTGCACATGCATCACAGGTTTGAATTTGGCTCATGTCATTTGGTGAACCCATTTCCCCTCTCTTCCCTTTACTTATTTTTATTCTTACTGTATATACAAAAAGCAAAAAAATTAAATTGTAATTTTTCTCCCCCTGTCCTGTACGACTTGTGTGAAACACAAAAGAAGGTTTTAAAGAATGTAGGTAACCAAACAGCATGGCCAAAATATACAATAGAAGTCAATGGGAACCAAAACTGTTTGGTTACCAACATTTTCAAAATACCTTCCTTTGTGTTCAGCAGAAAAAAGAAATGCATGCAAAATGAGGGCCAATATGACAACAGAATTGTACTTTTTGGTTGGATTATCCATTAATTGGTTTTATTCATGGTTTTTTTTTTTTTTTTTTTTTACATGACTGAATTCACATGATTACTTTAAGTTACAACAACAAAAATAACCGTTTAAGGTTAGATTAAGTAGAAATAGCTTTTTAAGATAACAACTGCATGGTTTCACTTCTGTACAATGGCAGAAGCGGAAATTAATGTACATAAACCTAGTTTAGTCATAGTCATGACCTAACAGAACTCATTTAACTAGGGGGCCTCAGAAAACTTCCGCCTCAAGATTATACTAAAAAGTATTAAAAATAAATAATGATTAATCTATTAGCATAATCAAACTATCATCTGAAGTAAAATGTTAAAATAATAATAATAAAATATTAAAAACAATCAATAAAATAAAAATAGTACAAATATTTATTTTTACCCCTAAATAACTTGTTTTGAATTGAAGAACATGCATTTCATGAAACTTCTAAAGTCACAAAATGATTGTGGTTCATTTATTATCAATATTTCTAGTTTCTGTTAATAAAAAGGTTTCAAAACAAGCAGCTTTGTCAATTGCAGCAGAAATACCGGAAATATCGTAATGTATCGTGTTAAACAACAAGGGGCCTTTGAGTAAAAAAAGTTGAAAACCACTGATATAACAGTTTGAAAATAGCCTTTGTAAAAATCTGACTTGAAGTTCCTTCATGAATCAGTTTGTACTATAGTAGTAGTAGTAGCTGTTGGCCAGAGTCGCTGGGTTAACTGTTTGGATCGGTAGACTCTGAGGCATCACAGCTGTGGGAGACTCATCTGTTCATTCTGAGACGGAGCCAGTGAAAAGTAGGACGTGTGGTGTACCTTATGTCTTCAGCAGAATGGGACGCTACCTCTCCGTTTACTTTATCTTTGCCACGGTCTCTCTGTGATAACCCGATAGCATGGCAGTTTCACTTCTCATGTTCTGTTACACTTTTAGTCTAGTTCTGCTGTAGAGTTTAATTTAGAGCTTTTGTGTTTCTTCACTCGTTTCCCTGTTGCTGGTCTAAATATACATTATGCACTTGAAATGTCGTTTTAGATATGGTGTGATTATACTCTGTGCGAGTGCAGGTAATCATAAGCTCGTGTTTAGCTCATGTAATCTTTAGTTTCCACCAGATATTGTATTCTGTAGAAAGTAAAGTGCACATAATGAGCACCGTTTGTATGTTTCTGATAGGGTGGCAACCGACCACAATATTGACAACACTACTTACCTACTGCGAGACTGGCTCATCAGTGTACAGAAACTCTACCATTATGTGGAGTGGAGGCCAAAGGAGGAACCAAGGTTTGCCATGTTTCTTCACTTGTGGTTTCATGGAACTGGTTCATTTGTGCATTTCCTTGTACTACATTTCTCTTTCTCATTCAGAAAATATCATGATGAGGAAGGACCAAAGGATTGGACGAATGAGCGCTACGCCTACGTCATGAAACTGCGGCAGGCAGCACTTGAGTCTGCACGAGAGATGTGGGCAGACTATCTCATGGTGAGTTTACCACACACTATCCACTCTCTTCGCTAGGACCATGTTGGTAAATAGAGACTTGTGGCCATTGAATGGTGTGATTA